AGTTGATGCCTTGTAGATTAGCTAAGACTTGTTGACTGAGGATTTTATTAAATGCTATTTTCAGAGGAGTCAACATAGTCTGTAAGTAGAGAGAGAGCCAGTAAAGTTTATTAAAAACAGGGCTGGAGTGCTGAAAACTATGTTTCTAAGAAGATAAATCTGGCAGGATGGATTTCATTGAGAGACTGGAAAGCTAGCCAGGAGATCACTGTGTTAAGGTGAAGGTTGTAAAGGTTTGGATTAGGGTGATGCTTGTAGGAATAGAGGTAAAATAGAAACTGTTGTGTTATGCAGTATGACAGTAATACTTGGTGACAGATTAAGTATGGTTATTCAAAATAAAAACATTAGAAATAAACTCAAAGACTTCATGTTTTGAGGGCATACCATTTATTAGGTAGGATTGGAGATTCTGGAAGGATAATTCCACATGCTCATACTAGAGTAGTATCTGATACTTCTCCTTATGATGTGTTTAGACTCTCAGAAGAGTGGTTGCTAGGGATTCTACATTCCAAATTGTTCATCTAAAAATGGCAGTCTGACAAGAAAGTGGTAACAGTGGTTGTTTTTTTTAAGTGCATAGTTGGGGTGTGGAGATAAAAGGGTGACTTTTCAATGTTATTGCTTTATGTCTTTTGAATTTTGAATCATATGCTTGTATTATCTATTCAAAAAACAAATAACATTTAATTAAAAGATAAAGAAACCCAAGTCTTCGATTTCCACGGGGAAATTCTTATCTGGCATTCTTTTGTTATTTTAAGTACTGCAGACTATAATTTCTCCAAAAAGCAGCCAGGTAAACATATCTAATACTTGATTGTCTTTGACTTACCTGTGTGTATAAAGATTGTATGTTTGATGGTTCATGTTTGTGTATATGTGTTATGGTGTATGTATGCCTGTTGTGAATTGTGAGTGCATGGGTGTGGCCAGGTGTGGCTTTTGTGTATGTGTGTGTATGTGTTTTACCCATAACAGAATGTTTATAGCTGGAGGCTTAGGGACTTTGTCTTCCAGAATTTTTAATTCTTATTGCCATCATTTAGGAATTTTCTCTGTAAGGGAGATGTCCTTGCTTCTTCCCTAGCCTCAGAACTATTCAAAAATGGTGGTGGTGCAAGAGCATAGACTGTCTCTCTTTCCTTTCTATCACTCATTACATATTGGTTATTCCGTCTGTCTCTCTCCACCTAATTCTCCTCAGGCAACTGCCATGAATCCAGCTTCTGTAACAAAGTGTCCTGAAATACATGAATTTTATTTCTTATCTCAGCCTTTGGGTAGGTTAAAACCCAGTATTAGATCTGGGAAAGAAAATTGATTATGCTGTGTGTGACATGAAAATATATGGAATGTTTTTTTTTTTGATTTTTGTTTTTGTAGCTTTCTCTTTTATAATTTATTAGTGATAAAAACCATTAGTAAAATCAAGTCAGATATGCTTATTCTTTAAGGACTAATGAAATTGGGAGAAGTTTTAAGATTATTCCCATAGGGACCTAGAAAAGAGAAACCAGGATTGGAGGCGACAGGAGGCAGTGGTAGGAAGCTAAGCAGCATAGCACAGTGGTTGTCAATCTTGGCTACACATTGCCACCACCTGGGGATGTTTTAAAAAAAAAAACACGCTGATGCTTGGTTCCCACCCCCCCTAGAGATTCTGATTTAATTGGTCAGGGCTATGGCCTGGGCATTGGGACATTTTGAATCTACCCACTTGAATTTAAGTGTAGTCAAGTCTGAGAACCACTAGCCTAGAGAAGAAAACTGGTTCTGGACTGAGATTTTTCTGGGTTTCACAGTGCCTCAATTCCAAGTTCTCTCCATTTGGGATAAATTGGAGCTTATTGTAAAAGGTAAATATGGTATTTCTGTGTGTTCCCTAGGAGATTTGATACTTTTTAAGACTTGTGATTATTTAGGTTTCTGATTGGTAGGGAACAAAAAAAGCCATGAGTTAATCTTTACCATCTGGAAAGAATGGACAGATTCATGTATTAACAGTAATAGAAATAAAACCTCATGGGGCTGGGCATGGTGGCTCAAAGCTTTAATCCCAGCACTTTGGGAGGCCAAGGTGGGAGGATCACCTTCAGGAGTTTGAGACTGCAGTGAGCTATGATTGCACCACTGCATTACATCCTAGATATCAGAGTGCGACCCTGTCTGTGAAAAGAAAAAAAGAAAGAAAGAAATAAAAAACAATTTCATGCATTGGCTATACTTATTTAACATTGTGGTATTTGCACAGGTTGCCTGTGATTTGCTTCGGAGAATTATTCGCATTTTGTATCTCTGTAAGAGGCTCCAAGGACAACTGCAAGGAGGAAGTAGAGAGATAACAAAAGCTGCTCAGAGTCTCAATGAACTTGGTAAGTCCTTTTTTGGTTAAAAAGTTAGTAGAGACTTAATGATTTTAAGTCACTTGATTTGTTGACTTTTGTCATTATCATTAACAAGTATTATTAAGCACATTTTAAAAATAATTGGCTGTATGCAATATTACCACACTTTTCTGAATAAATAAAATTACTGCAAATATGGTTTATTTTCTGCAAGTTTTCTGCAAATATGATTTATTTTAAAAATTATCATATAGTAAAATAAGCCTTTTTTCATATACAGGTCTGTAAATTTTAACCCATATATAGATTCATGTAACCACCACTACAGTCATGATATAGAACAGTTTCATCAGCGCCCCCAAATTCCTTTATTATCTGTTTATGATCGCACCCACCTCCTGCCCCTAATCTGGCAACCACTGATCTTTTCTCCATCATTGTATCTTTGTCTTTTTGAGAATGTCACATGAATGAAATTATAAAGTAGGTAGCCTTTTAAGGTTGACTTCTTGTACTCAACATGATATCTTGAGATTTATCTAAGTTTTTGGGTGTACCAATAATGTGTTACTTTGTGTTTGATGGAATACCATTGTATGGATGTGCTACAATTTGTATATTGATTCACTGGTTGAAGGACATTTGTGTTGTTTTCAGTTTTTGGTGATTATGAATGGAGCTGCCATAAAAGTTTGTGTACATTTTTCATTTCTCTTTGGGAAATATCCTGGAGAAATGCTGATTTTTAGGTGACAAATCCCATATTGATATTATGGTTAGAAGATTTAATTTATTTCTTTATTTGTTCATTCTTTTCTCAAACATTTAGAGTAGGCTCTTGACATTCAACAGTGTATGTTTATAGTTTTGGCTATTAACAAACTGCAAGGTCCGTGATGAGGTCGTACATAAGTTTTCAGGCAAATTTTTGAATAGCTAATGAATGTGTATAGAACTGCCCAACACTTGTGTTGGCTTAATGAGGTTTTGTCACTTTCTTCTTTTCATTGGTTATACAGTAATTTTTCTGAAGTGGGTATGTTTAGTGGTAATTGTACTTTCGCAGGTTCAGAAGTCTTTGGTTATATCCGTCTCAAATATCAAGAGTCTGATTACTCTTGGTGATACACATTGAAAGTGGTTTTGATTAAATAGTATAGATAAATGTGTGTTCTTTCTAAATTTTCCTACTTTGATTCTTCAGTTACATAGTCATGGAATGCTGTAATGCTTATTCCATAGTTTGGAATGCAATATCCTTCACAAATCATCCTTCAACAACATTTCGATTGTATAATGCTCAAATATAGGCTTTGCTTAGGTACGTGATGGAAATATATCTAATTTGTGAATTTAATGTGCTTGGAATATATCATATAAAAAGTTAATTTTTGGCTGGGCACAGTGGTGCGTGCCTGTAATCCTAGCACTTTGGGTAGCACTTCAGAAGGCCGAGGTGGGAAGATTGCTTGAGGCCAGAAGTTTGAGACCAGCCTGAGCAACATAGTGAGACCCCTGTCTCTACCAAAAAAAAAAAAAAAAAAAAAGTGGGGCGTAATGGGGGGACCCTGTAGTCTCAGCTAATTGAGAGACTGAGGCAGGAGGATACCTTGAGCCCAGGAAGTCGAGGTTACAGTGAGCTATGATGACACCACTGCACTCTAGCCTGGGTGACAGAGCAAGACACTGTCTCAAAAAAAAAGTTAATATTTTAAGACAGTGAGTAATACTTGAGTGTTGTTTTCACAGTATGGTCTAAACATAGGACTGTAAAAATCCTAGTATCAACTGTTATATTTTGCTCTATCACATTTAATTTCTATGCATCAAAAATAGTCTCTAGGATAATAGAATCAACACAGATATGAATTATTCCAAGATTTATTATGTGTGTTTGTCATCACTGATATGCCTTCATATTAAAAAATAGCTAAATTTTGATTGTGATTACCATCTCATCTAGAATCAACAGATGCTATTAATATAATACAAATAGTGACGTCTTTTTTTAAAAACAGGCACAAATATCAATCATAATGTTCTGAATTTGTACAGTGCAGAGTGTAAACCCATTATCCTTCCAATGCGGTATTGGCTTTATCCGAAGCTTTTATAAATGTTAAAACGTTGTTGAGAAAGTATATTTCCTGATGGAATTATCTCAAAGTGGGCTGTATTAATTTAATTTTTTTGAGAAGCTTATTCATTTAATAAATTATTAATTAATAATTAAATGTTAGAGCTTTGCAAATTATGTGTGATTTAATATTTGCAAAGGCATCATCTCTTTATCATTCACTGTGGTTCAGTCTTGGCCAGTCCTGGCTTTGATAACTGATAAGGAGAATGACTAATAAGGAGAAGCCTTATTAGTTATCAGTGACACATGTACAGTAAATGAGATTTCTGTGATTGGAACATCTCTAAAATTATCAGTGTCTTTACCAGTATGGTTTTGGTTCTCATTAAAAAGAATAAAATGATGAAGAGTTGTACTGTTTATACCATAGGCTCTCGAAATTAACTTAAAAGCAATCTTTTAAAAGGTTTTGAGGCTTGAATTGGAATGACTGGATGAAATACATCATCATCTGGAAATTAAGTATATTCTGAGGGACTGTGGGGAGTGTGGAGTGACTGCTAATGGATACAGATTTTTTGGGGGTTGTTGACAGTGTTCTGGAATTAGATAGTGGTGATTGTTGAACAACTTTCTCAGTACACTAAAAACCACTGAATTGTGCACTTTGAAAGAGAGAATTTTATGTTATGTAAATTATATGTCAATTAAAAATGTGTGCCTGGTATGGTGGCTCATGTCTGTAATCCCAGCACTTTGGGAGGCCAGAATGGGAGGATTCCTTGAGGCTAGGAGTCTGAGACCAGCCTGAGCAACATAGCAAGATTCTGTCTTCTGTCTCTCTTTAAAAAAAAAAAAAAAAAGTATGTTCCAGATATCCAGTGACAATTATACTGGTGTATTTTATTTTAAATTGAGATATAAGTAACATATATCAAAAATGTATAATTTAGTAAATTTTGACATGAAAATCACCAACATCAAGATAGTGAGCATAACTATCACCCCCCAAAGTTTCCTCATGCCCCTTGTTAATCCTTCCTTAGGCATTTACTCATTTGTTTTCTGTCACTATAGATTAGTTTCCACTTTAAAGATTTTTATATAAATGGGATTATATACTTTGGGTATGTTTTTGTTCTGTCTCTTTTAGCCACTTTAATTATTTTGAAATTCATCAGTGTTATGTATATCAATAGGTTATTCCTTTTTATTACTGACTAGTGTTGAATTGATATATCACAGTTGGTTCATTCATTCACCTCTTTTTTTTCTTTTTTTTTTGGAGACAGAATCTCCAGTCCTAAATGTAAAATGTAAAATCTCTGGTCCTAAATGTAAAATGTAAAACCATAGAACTTATAGAGGGAGACATAGAACATTTTTGTGTTTTTGAGTTTGACAGTGATTTCTTAGACATTACCCAAATGACGATTCCCAAAAGAAGAAAATTGATAAATTAGACTTTATCAAATTTTTTTTTTTTTTTTTTTGAGACACAGTCTCACTCTGTTGCCCTGGCTAGAGTGCCGTGGCGTCAGCCTAGCCCACAGCAACCTCAAACTCCTGTGCTCAATCGATCCTTTTGCCTCAGCCTCTCAACTACAGGCATGCTCCACCACGCCTGGTTAGTTTTTTCTATATATTTTAGTCGTCCAGCTAATTTCTTTCTATTTTTAGTAGAGACACGGTGTGACTCTTGCTCAGGCTAGTCTCGAACTCCTGAGGTCAAACGATCCACCCACCTTGGCTTCCCAGAGCGGTAGGATTACAGGCGTGAGCCACCGCGCCCAGCCTAGACTTTATCAAAATTTAAGACTTCTGTTTTTTGAGTGAGAAGAACAGAGGAGGATGAAGACAAACTATAGACAGGAAGAAAATACTTGCAAAGTATATATTTGATAGACTTGTATCCAGATATATAAAAAAAAACTCTCAAAAACTCAGTCAGAATACCAACAACCCACTTCAAAAATAGAAGATTTGAACAGACGCTTCAAAAGAAAAGATGCATGGATGACAAATACGCATATGAAAAGATGCTCAACATCATTAGGTGTTAGGGGAAATGACAAAATTATACAAGTATCTTACAGAGAATAAGCAGAATTATTTTAGTGCAGACTTATTTGTTGTACTTTTTCATGCAGGTTATTATGTAATGATTAAAAAAATAAAACTACATAGTATAGATTGCAGGATTAAACTGTATCACATTGATTTATGACTTTTCTTCAAGATGAATCTTGGGACTAGTTGAAAATTTAGAAAGGCTTTACTACAAAGTGATAACATTATTTGAGCATTAGTAAGATAATGTACTTAATTTTTTTTTTTTATTTGACCAACTACTTTTTTCATTTGTTGTTAACCATCTAAGCAGGGTCCCTACTTAATTTATAATTTAATGTTTTTCAGATTTTTTTGAACAGCTGGGTAAAGTGTCATTGTGAACCAGAGGAGGGCAGCTCTTTTAAAATTAGTGTCTGAAAACACTTAACGTGGTTAGAAATATTGAAAAGACTCTCATACTGTCAATGTCTGGATCAGGTTAAGTACTAGGTTTGCTTATTCCATAGTATGCATTCCTGCTTTATTCACGTTGACTTGAAGCTGCTGGAAACCAGAAAGTACTATGTTTCTATAGTAAACATCAGCACTTTCTAATTTTTCTTTAGGAATTTTATTAGATATTCCACTTGTAAGTTAGACACCTCAACCCACCCGTAATACAGACATTGGTGAAGAATGTCTGTATTGGTGTGCTCTTTGCTTCAGTGTTATCAAATGATAAAATTCTGCTGGGTACTATTGGATTTGAATGTTAGAATGTAGAGAGAGCGTGTGTGGAAGATGTAAATTTGTATTATGTAAAATTTTAGCTAGATGGTTCTTTTCTTGTATACTAGTTTCCTTAGATTTGTTGGGAAACTCATTTTGAACCTAG